GCCGCCGCAACCGGACAAGGATATAATTTCGCAGTGATCTGAAAGTCTAACCTTTTGTTTCCGTGGCGAAATTGGGGAAGTAAGTTTCCCCAACCCCAACGCCTTGAAAAGGCCCAACTCCGCCTACAAGCGGTCTTCCCTCATCCCTTGGTTCGGAGTTCGGAGCTGTTCCGGGTTAGGATTCATCGTCCAGCCCTCAACCCTAAACCCTCTGCCCTAAACCCTAGACCATAAACCCGCAACCCTAAACCCTATAAGCCCTATAAACCCTATAAACCCTAAACCCTCTGAACCCTAAACCCTCAACCCTAAGCCCTCAACCTTATTTAACCGCCGGCAATGTCTAGTCCAAACGCTCCATTCATCTCTAAAACCCTGAACTAGTTATCGATTTGGGTTGATTGTTGACTTCGCTTGGTGTTTAACCTAGAGCCCTTGTTGCAGATATTTTCGGGACCGTTGAAATCACCATGTACTTGCAAAGTCTGCAATTTGGTCCAAAAACCTCGGAAGAAAAAGCGTAGGCATAGTCCATGTAGGTGCATGGAACCTTTGGGTAGGTTCCAGCTCTCTGAGCAGTTACAGAAGCCTTATGTACTTCTGGAACCTTTATTCATACAAACATATGAACACCATAGAGAATAACAGTAACTAGTAGTAGTTACCAGCCCATTACAAGAAGAGGAAGAAGAACACTACGAAGAAGCAAAGAACTCTGTCAGTCCGCAAGATGTTTAACCGAACTTCGGACATGAGGGGGCTTAGACTTGAATCATTACCAATACTATTACTACTGTTGATGATAGAAATCCTGCATTACCTTAAGGACCCTAAACTATGGGAACTATGGTATATTCCTAATTGTGGGTAATGCAGGATTTATACCATCAACCGTATTTTGGGGGTTCCTAACTACTGACTACTAGCTAGGGGCTCTTGTGTTTAGGGTTGAGGCTTTATAAGGTATAGGGTTTGGGACTACTTGGTCACAGCGTTCTCAGAAGATGGCTCCAAAAAAAGGAGCCGTGTCGGATCTTTAAGGAAGTTAGAGCTCTGGGTTTGTTGTGGTCCAGGGTTGAGGGGAGGTGGGGCTGTTTGTTTCAGGTCAATGTAGGGGACTAAATAATTACCCGTACTATTTTGGGGGTTCCTCAGTATGATTATAGTATGATGGACTCCAAACCCCTATTCTAATTACTAAGGCGCCCTATATTACCAGAATTCAGCAAGCCTCGGGTTTGGGGCTTATGGGGTATCTATGGGGGTTACAGGGATTACATGGCTCATGTGCTTGGGTTTAGGGTTTAGGGTTCAGGGTTTAGGGTTTAGGAGAAGACCTGAGCCTACCCTAGAGAATCATGCCCTACTCCTTCTGAAGGGTACCTAGCTTTTTGATTCGCATCTGTTATCTAGAAAAAGTAGGTACGCAAAAAAAACGGTGTAGGGTATGACCCTGCAGCTATGAGGTAGACTTAAGCTTCGGGGGGCTTGGCAAGCATCCTAAGGGTCATTTGTTGGGGCGTTTAGGGCTTAGGGTGGGTTTAGGGTTTCGGGCTTTAGGGTTTAGGGGTTTAGGGTTTACCGGGTTTAGGGTTTCGGATTGATTTAGGGTTTAGGGTAACTAGAAACCAAGACCCTACGGTTACAGCATTACAGCAGCAAGAAGCAAGAAAGAAGTTCCCGGCAGCAGCTAGAAGCAAGTTCCTTAACAAAGACCTGGTTACTACAAGTCGTCATGGAAGGAAACTCAGAGTTAGACCTGTTCTCCCAACGCATCTTAGGCCGACCGCATATCCACAGCGAATCCTAAACTGCTCGCGAACCCTGTGTCCCATAGGGCTACAAGCAACTAAAGTAAGAGTTATCTTGCCTGTACGGTGGTAGCCTTACAACAGGACTCGGCTGACAGTCCTGCAAAGCACAGAAGGCCGTCGTCAAACATCGGCTGTCCACTCCTGGAGACTTACGTCATGTGAGATGTGTTCGCTGAATTTTGTTGCATGCGGTTGCTGGGTGTGGATTGCCATGCATGTTGTCAAAGACGGTTTGTGCCGTGCTTTTTCCCAGGTATCAGGCCCCCTTGCAGCATCTACATGATGTCTAAAATCTAAACCCGGTAGCTAACCCCAAACCCCAAAGTCGTAAAGCCCAGATTTGTTACATAACCGCATATTTCCACTTATGGTGCGTAAAACGCCGCTACACCCAACGCCGCGTAAACTCTTCATCCATGCGGAAGCAGGTCGGCAGAAGCTGCAGCGCTGCACCTACCACTCAAGGCAGAACACGTTTTTCTCACGAACTTAGCGGGTGGGGAGGTCTTCGGTTTTCGCGCATCCTGTTTGAAGATCTACATCAGTGTCCTTGTTTTCTGAACTCCGATGCAAAACATGGGTGCAGCTTGCTCCACAGCTTAAACCCGAAACCCTATAAACCTTAAGCCGTTTCAGCCGAGTTTTGATAGAACGCCGTCCATGGCTTCTCGGAGAGAGCGTTTGATGTTTAAGCCATGGGGATCAGCATGTTCTGTCGTCTCGGGGGAAGCCGATGGCCTACGAGACGCCTCAAGCTTGGATGTTCACTGCAATCAAATATGTAGTTCCTTTTATATAGTTAAACTGTTGAGCAGCAAAAACCTACCCATAGTCTGTCACTTCGACCCACAGCTTTCGAACAGCTTAGGATTTGCTTTGCAGTGACCCCCCATCTTCTTGTGCATAGGATACGTGGCCTGCAAAACAGTTACTTACGAAGAACTACCCGGACCCCTAAACTATGTAGAATAATAGCCTTTTAGAGGTTTTGGGCCATTATTTTACCTACTTTGAGGGGTTTAGGTAGTTACTTTAAATCTTAAGCACGTACTTCAGAGTGCACGGGGCCTCGCTTCGTCGACCCTGGGTCGCACCTGGTCTTTAGGTTTAGGGTTTAGGGTTTAGGGTTTAGGGGTTTAGGGTTTAGGGTTTAGGGTTTAGGGGTTTAGGGTTTAGGGGTTTAGGGTTTTAGGGCCCGGGGTTTCAGAATTGGGTTTCAAGATTCAGGCGAGGGAGTAAGGCTGAGGACTTCAGGTTCGTAAACCTGCGCTCGAAGTTTTCGTTGTCCCACACCCAACCCGTGCATTGACATCAATACCCATAGGCTCCTTAGTAGTTCCTTTTTGGGATTACCTTATGGGATTCTAAATATGAACCACAAAAAGGAACCACTGAGGAGCCTATGGGTAACAACCTGGCACATTTGTCTCTGTTTCGGCGAGTGGCAGGTCAAGTTCGCTGGTGAGGACGGCCAAGATGAAGGCGCTCAGCCATGACCATTAGGGCTGCCCATGCAGTAGTAATTATCGGGCTGCCCATCAGAAACACCATAATCTGGTAGCCCTGAGGGGTCATATTATTTTAAAGGAACATAAGGTCTTGCAATTATCAGTCTATTCAGACCAGTATCGCAGGTTCCCGTTCCTTTTCCGTGTTGTCACAAAGGCGCAGTCTGATGAACTGTCGGGGAGGATCAGATTCTCGAGAACAACCCGTATGCAGGTAGGGTTCAGGGCTTAGGGTCCAGGGCCAATTTACCAGTATGGTGTGGTTGCCGCCCTGATAAAACTATCGTAGTTCGTGTTATGGTAGCGCCTTACCTACAAAACAAGCTTAGGAATTTTCGATCAGGTCAGGGTTCGATCTGTTGATCGCCGGATTAACAGCCCCAAGCCTGAATTGATACATGATGCGAGACTCCAACACCAGAATCCGAAGCAATTCTTGGCTTGAGTATCGGAATGTCAACATGTCGTACACTTTCTGACGTCTTCCATTGTCCTTGCATGATCCCTCATGCGAACCCTTTTCCCAAAGTCCTTGACTTCCGTGCCCGGCACTGCACACCCTGAGTGCACACAGAAAAAACCGCAGGCTCACAAAGCAAGTTCAAAACCTACGCAGATAACGCTAAACCCCAGCCTAAATTTTAAAGGCCCACTGAGTGTTTTGGAACCATTGCTTCGCGCCCAACAAACATGGGGTTTCTAGACTGTAGTGAACCGTAAGACCCTACCTGTGAATCCAAAAACCTAACGTTTTAAGGATTATACCCTCTATTTAAGGGGTCATAACCTACTATTTTGTAGGGTTTTGGGTTACAGGTAAATCCTAGACCCTAAACCCTAGACCCCGAGAATCTCGTCAGGTGGCGTGCGGCGAGAGTTTTTCCAGGTCCTAATCCGACGTCTCTTCGACGAGCCTCTAGTCTCAAACAACGTCGTAGCCCTGGGTTGTGTTAGGGAGACCCCCCCAAAGGGCTTAGGCGGTTTAGGGGTCTAGGGTTTAGTTTAGGGCTCGGGGACTTAAGCCTACTTATGGCCCTCCTTAAAAGGGACCTTACTCAGAGGCTCTATATCCCCAAGGGTCCCCCCCTAATCCTAACTCCCACGCAGGAGGCTCTTGGCGCCGGACCTTCCAGTATCCATTAATTATTATAAGGGAATGTGCCTTAAAATAGAGGATCCCTAAGATGGTTTCTTAATGATCCCTAAGATGGTTTAAGATGTACTCCTTAATGGATGAGGCTTAATATAGTGGCCTAAAGAATTCGCCAATACTATTTTGGGGTTCCTTATTATACTTGTAGTATAATATACCCCAAAACCTTGGTCTAATTATGAAAGCCCCTATATTAGAGTGTAGGGTTCAGGGAGTAGGGTAAGTAAGGGGAGTAGGATTCAGGATTTAGGCGGAGGTTTTGCAGTAAAGGCTGCTATGGACTGTGGCTTACCGATCGGTAACCCAAAAACCCTAAACCCTTAAACCGTAAACCCTAAGCCCTAAACCCGTCAGTTTCCCTGGATTCTGGGACCCGTGCCCAGAGAACCCAATACCCCTTAATTATGGAATATATCTTAAGGGGCCCCTTAAAGGGATCTATAAGGGTTTCGGGTTTAGGGTTTAGAGGAATATAGCTTATTTTGTAAAGGCGAAGATATTGTGATTCAAGGTATATTCCTTAATTAAGGGGTATTGGGTTCTCTGGGTACCCTACAGACCCCTGAAATAGGTCAAGGGTCACTTTGGCTGTAAGGGGGGATATCTTGCGTAGTCTACTTCGGTTTCAACGGGGCTGTTTGATACTAGCTTTAGCTAACTTTAGGGCCAATGTAATATACTAGAAAAAGTCCGCGGGTGTTCTGGGATTAAGTTTGAGACCAGACTCCAGTCTCCGAAATCCGGCCGAAGCCCCCTTTGGCACCGCAAAAACTGATTCCCTGGGAGCCTAAGCGGCTTTTTTTTGTGGGTTCCTGGTTCTGCAAACCTTGAAGACTGCGGCCCAAAACCCTAAACCCTACAAGCCCTAAAGCCCTAGGGCGTAGCCACGCTCCAGCAAGCTGCATAGGGTATCTGTGCTCTTGGGGTCCGGGAGAGGCTTGTGCCGGAGCTTCTGGGCACTCAAGACCTCCTCTCTAGCTGAGTTTTTGTTTAGGGTGCTTTATACGGGTCCCATAACACTGAAGCCTCGACCACCCTTAACCCTTATAAACCCTAGACCCTGCACCCAAAGCTTGGTAGTTCCCCTGAGTAACTGGATAGTTACACAAGGAGGGTTACGGTTGTCAGACCTTCTTCCCGGATTCGGTAAGGAGGGGAGTGGGGCTTCGGGGTTTAGGATTTGGGCTTTCGGGTTTGGAGCTTGAGGGCTCCATGTGGTGCCCGAGGTTGTACCTGACATGGAGTCTACGACATGTGTAGTTTTCTAAATTAGGGTCCCTTTTAGGGTCCTTTTTACAAGGGTGCCATACTATATTTTATATTGGGCACCCAAAAGGGACCCTACTTTAGAGAACTTCTACCACATTGTGCTTGAGGGCATTTTCCTGGCATCTTCTGCCGGGCACAGACCGGCAAGATGGCAATGCCTCAGAAGCGCTGCTGGGACATGAGATTTGCCGAAAAGGAGGCCTCCATCCGCTAAAATAGCGGTCTCAATAATTACCTATATTATCTTGGGGGCGGGTTCCTTATGATCATTATAGTATAATGGGCCTCAAAACCCTATTCTAATTATTAAGGCCCCGATATTACATCAAGCAGTTCTCCGCAGGACTGGAGCTGAAGAGCAGGGGTTTTAGGGTTTTCGGGTATCCCTTGTCTAGGGCTGTAGTATGTAGGGCTCTAGGGTTTTACGGCTTCAGAATTTAGGGCTTTAGGGTTTCAGGGCTTAGGGGGGCAAGTTACAGAGTGGTGGGCAGGTGATCCTACTGGCCTGGATTTCGCCAAACCCTAGCGGCCCTCGCACTTGAAACCCTAGAGGCCCTAGAAGCCTCACAAGCACACAAACCCGGCCTAAACCCGAAAAGCCCGACTGGAGTCTTTATGGAACCCTTATAAAACCTCACACCCCTAAACCCTGAACACGAAGCAAAAATCCAAGTCTGCTACCCTTTTGAGACACCTAAACTCTAAACCCTATACCCTAAACGGCCCTAAACCCTTAAACCGTCAAAGTCAGGTCGTACTCCATGTTCACCCATGATCCGGACTCCCACGCGACATGGCTCCTGGCGCCCGCAAGTTTAAGGGTTCTACAAGGGGTAAGGCTTCAAGAAGGGTACTCTAGGGGTTCTATACAAGGGCTACAAAGATATATCATGGGTACTAAAGGGGTTTATGGTTTGGAGCTGCCGGCTAGATTTGTTTAGAAGTTGGTATCTGGACTTCCAGATTCCAAGAGACGCAACTTGATTGGATACTGGAAGCTGGTATTACCGTCACAACCCGACAACACCATATGAGGGGTCTACCCTTGCTACCCTACTCATGAGGTAAACCTCTGAACCTATCAAGCCTGAACCTAAACCATATCGACGTTGAACCTTGAAGCCCTAGCTAGCAGCTAGACCCTACACCCCGCACCCCGACCCGGAAACGTATACGGGTGCCCCAGACACCCCAAACCCTCAGAAATTTCGGACACGAGCCATGGAACATTAAAGCTTCTACTACAGATCCTTGCCGTAAGAAGTCGTAGCAAGCCATCATGGAGCCTCTAAGGAAGGCTTGCAGAGCCTCGAGACCCCAATCATGTGTAGACCCTTTGTCACGCCTTCGCAGAGCTCTGTATGATTAATATAGAAGCCTAAATAACTACATATTATGTACCTTAGGGTTCCTTGTTATAGGTATACTGTAAAGGAGCGCAAAACCCTATTCAAATTATTAAGGCCCCTACATCGCTACACCGCCTGGGTTGAGTTCCCCAGTTCCTTCCCAAACGGGAGTTTCCGAACATAAGGGGTACCTTCTTTTGGGGTCCTTATATCCTACTATTTAGGGTATTATCTTAGGGTCCCCTGTCCTCGGAAACCCCCTTCCAAGAGCAGGGTTTGCGGTTTGCCAAATGAAGGGGTTAGCACTGAGGATTGGGAAGATGAAGTCGGATTTGGACGTCTCATCTCAAAGTTTAGGGTTTAGGACCGCAGAACAGACAAAGTTTCTCGCTGTAGTTCGTTGTTGCCAGTTGCGAAAATTGAACCATGGCGCAGCTCAGGCCGCGGGCGCTTGAAGCTACCCCCTCCAAATTCCCCCTCCCTAGTTCAGCCTGTATCAAGCTGGCAGGTTCCGTCTGGGAAACCAGGTCTGCGCTCTCCCATCATGCCATTTCAGCCCCACATCTACCCACTTCGTTAACTTGCTGAGATGCCCACGTGTTGATCCCATCTTCCGTAGCAGGGGGGTGGGGCGGGGGCGGGGGCTGATGGTGCTTGAGGGAGTCCAGGGTTTGAGTTTCTAGACGCAGGGCAAGAAAAAGGCACCGGGGGTTGGAGCACCATGCCAGGTAACCCATACAAACCTTAAACCCCTAAATTCTAAACCCTAAACCCATAAACCTTAAACCCCTAAATTCAAGCCTAAACCCTAAACCCAAGCCCCGAAGAAGCCGAAGGTTCAGCGAAACCGTCCTGGAGACGGAGGACCTGTGTGTCATGGATTTCAGACGCGGGGTCCTGCAAGTTTTTGTAGCTGAGTAGGCAACCTTTTACTTTTCGCGGCTTATATAAACCTACAATAATTGAGAAGGTGAGCCGTTTTTTTTCGCCAGGGCATTCAGCCCCCAAGCAAAAGGAAAGTCCATGGTTTGGAGTCTGGAAAGTTGTAGTTGCGGCTGGCGTTTGTTCGGGCTTAGGTTTCGGCGGCAAAATTCAGGGTTGCGTTACCCCAGAAGCTATCAGGGAAATAAAATCTAAGATCCAGTCAAAGCCTCAAGTCCATGAAGCATAAGTCTCGGCCGACTAAACCCCAAAGCCTAACGCCTAACCCCTGAACCCTATTGGAAGGACACCGACGAGCTGTTCAAGGTTTGTGGCACCGTGATCGGTTTGGCCGTGCTCCGGCTGCAGACTGCCAGATTTTCGGCTTTATAGAGGGCCAGGGTTGGTTGCCGAACTGCGTAGTATAGGGCCCTAAAGAATTACCTACATTGGTTCCCGATTCTAATGCTAGCTTCATATACACCAAAACCCTGGTCTAATAATTAAGGCCCCTATACTAGCAGAACCCTTGCCCGATTGACCACCAGACACCCCATCGGAGGACCATTCCTGTACTCACACTACATCTCCCCCCAAATACCACTGTCTAGCAGATTACCCCACCCATTAGCCCTACAACAGTGCGGAGTTCTATCGTTCGGCTGATATCAGCGCAAACGACAGCCTCTACAACGAGGTCACCAACCTCCTGAATGATATCTTGTTGCTTATGCATATAAATGCATTGCAAATATATTGATTTAATCTTATTCAAACAATCAAGCCAGCATTATTGGGTTTTCTCGGTTTTCTCTGCTTTAAATTAATGGGCATGGCAACTTTCGCATTATCCATGCCACATAACTCTTAAGCTGTCTTTACCGACATTGTCTTCCCTCTCATTGTGGGCCCAATTCCCGGAACGCTGAAGGCCTTTTGTGCACTCACGAATGCAAGGCTATTTAGATTTCGAGGTTTCGGTGTTTGAGTTTATGTGGTTGAGGGTACCAAATTACAGTTTAGGGTTTGTGGGTCATTCGCGAAGCCTTGCCAGTAACAGCGGGTAAGGGGGTAGCAAGAGCGGGTAAGGGCCGCTCTCGTCATTCACGAATAGGTTCAGGGTGCAGGGTGAAAGGGGGCGATTTGGTTCCCGCTGCAGGTGTACAACAACGAGCATGGTATCGAGATTCACTTCCCGCTGGCCATGTTCAAGAAGCTTAAAGGCAGGTGCTTCTGGGCTATGCATATCAGTTGCGAGACTCATAGTTGAGTTTTATGGTAATGCCTAAGCCGATAAAAAGCACCCAAGCGACAGTTGAGAGATGTTTACCAACCCGAAACCTCTAGACCCACGCAGATTTGACTTAGCGGTGTCCGTGCGACGGCATCCGCACATGACTTTGTTGACTGATTATCGTTTCTGACACTTACCCATTTTCCGGGATCGCGAAAGGCCGCAGGGAATATATCAACACGCCAAGAAGCAGTGTCACTAACTACTAGACTAGGGTGGGGGACATGTGATAGTATAATTACATCGGGCCTACAAATGCAAAATGTACGATTTATTTATCAGTCAAACCTTTAGACTACCCTAGCTAATGGACCGGCTGACCTTAACATTGATCCAAGCTTTATTCCTTACTATCGCAGGTAGTTTCGTTTTAGCAAATCCCAAGACCTGTGCAGAATGTCTGGCTTCCTTCCCTGAAGCTAGGCTCCATCACCCTCGTTTGACGCACTCTCTTTGTCGTTCAGGTCTGCATCCATGCTCAAACCATGATAACGTCCATGCTACCAGCCCATCCCTTGGCCAGTGCATCCATGCCCAAACCATGATAAGGTCCGGCCCCGAGCCCATCAATTGGCCAGTGCATCCGTGCCCCAAGCATGATCTCATCCATGCTTACCAGCCCATCCATTGGCCAGTGCATCCATGCCCAAGCCATGATAACGTCCATGCTGCCAGCCCATCCATTGGCCAGTGCATCCACGTTCAACCCATGATAGCGTCCATGCTACCAGCCCAATCATTAGCCAGTGCGCCCATGCAGAAGCCAAGTCAGACGGAATTTCTGCGTGCGGGGTGAAAGAACACATTGTGCGGAATCTGCCCTGAACCCTCCAACAAGTCCTGTCGTTACAGCTCACTATTTTTTCGGCAAATCACGCCGCGCAGATTTTTGCGTTTGTTGCTCCGCATATCATACTAACGGAGGCACCATGTTGAAGCATGCGGATGTCAGAAAGTATCGGCCCTGCCATGTTTTGTCCAACATTGTTCGCACAGGAAGTGTAGCAAACGAGGGTGATGGACCCTGAAGCTAGGCCCTAATCTTCCTAAACCCTATCTTAACCTACCAAAACCTACTTTTTGTTAGGGTCCCTATGCACCCTTTTGGTAGTCTAGGTTCCCCAGTAGCACCCTTTTGCCCTTTCTTTTTGGGTTCCCTTATTAAAACCAAACAGTAGGAAAAAGGGTACCCTTCTTATTAAGGGGCTACTGGGGAACCTAGTAGTTTAAGGTAAACCTTGACCGTAAACCTGGAGATGATGAGTGATTGGGCTTGGCCTCATGGCTTCAACCTAGGCCATGCTTCTTGGAACCGACGACTGTCCATATCGACATCGTCCTCAGCTTCTTCATACAGTTCAGGCCAAACTTTTCGCAGCCTTGCGCTGCGAGGCAAAGCATCTTCCTGCTGCCGCCACAGCCTGGGCGCACATAGACATGACACACCTGGATGTCAGCAATGTCCTGTGCTGCTGGAGCAAGACCATCGATTTCATTCATGGCATGGAAACTGATGCCCGCTACCGGCAGCTGCTGTGCTTTGAATTGAAGCGAAGTCGCCACCTAAAGTCATGCGCCCATCACTGGTTGACAGCTGTGCTGCTGAAAACATGCTGGCTGGCCTCAATCCTTCAATCTCGGCATGCAGCGTGTATATGATGAAATTGTATTCGGCCTCGGTTTTCAACCTAGGCCCTGAAGCCCTTAGGCCTCTCAATGTCTAGAGAGTCTAGGTCCTCACTCAACCCCTAAAGCGCCTAACCCCACGTCCTCAAGCCCTAACCGTAAGTCCTCAACCCCTTAACCCTACGTCCTAAACCCCTCATCCGACGTCCTAACCCCGAAGCCTCTCAATTCCTTAGACCTCTAAGCCCAGGCCCTAAACCCTAAGCCCTGAACCACTGCATCTCCCGGAGAAGGTGAAGAATTGGGTTTGGCCGATCTTCAAGACATCAAGCCGAAGGCTGGGACGTCCTGGCGAGGGGCGAGGGGGGGGGGGTTGTTCAGGGCTCTCGGAAGGGTTTAGGGTTCCTTTAAAGGGATCTATAAGGGATCTGCAAGGGTTTAGGGATTTACATAGGTGTTGGGATTCAAGTTTTGCACGGTTTAGGGGTTAGGGTTTAGGGTATCCGGGTGGTTTGATACCAATTGTGGTTGGGGGTTTAGGAACTTTAGAACCTTGAATCCTAAACCCTATAAGCCCTGCAGGTTCAGGGTTTGGGGGCTGAAGGTCTGGCGATCGGGGCTCAGGGCAAAGGTTCGGCGTTCATGAAGTTGAGGGGCATTTTTTGTGTTGGGGTGTTTGCTGTCAGAGGTCCTGCCCTTTGGGCATGCGAGGGAGCCAGAGACTATCATGCTAGCACACAGGGGTTCCTGTTCCGAATTCATAGTGTCGGGGTTCACGGCTCAGTTCTTGGGCATGACAGCTTCGAGTCTACCGTTCACGGTCTAAGGGCCTGTGGGCCGGGTTGGCGCGTGTTTTTGTTTAATGCAGTCTTTCAGTATTCGTTTTCACAACCCTAAATCAACCGTAAACTCTATAAGCCCCGAAACCCTTGAACTGTGCATGATGGTCTAAGTTGCTTTGTGGACATCCCGTGCTGAGAGCTCCCGGGTGCACAAGAAGCGATCAGGATTCAGGGCATTGAGGGCTTTGGGGTTTAGGGTTTAGGGTGAGTACCCAAGTTTCTGTCAAGCAGGGGAGGCCCCTAACAAATTCAGAAGCCCGAAGAGATTCGCACTATTGTTCCTTTAGGGTTCATAAAATCTGGCCCCCAAACCCTCCTCTAGTTGTTAAGGCCCCTAAACCCCGAAACCCTAAGCCTTGAACCATAAATGCCTTAACCCCTAAACCTCTAACCCCTCAACTCCTCAACCCTAAAACCCCTAAACCCTAAAACCCTAAACCCCCAAACCCTAAACCCGTAAGGCCCAAGCCGCACACCCCAAGCCCTAAACCCTTAAATCCCGAACCTCTAGTAAAATCCCAAAGCGGCCACTTTTTGGGAAAATATGATCCCTTATAGAACTGAAAGTGTACACTTTTTGTGCTTATGAACTCAGCAACTAAGTGAAGGTTTGGATGTCCTTGGAGCAGCTGCTGTCGTGGCAGCCGACCACGGCCGACCCCAACAAGGAGTTCGAGGACGGTCTAGGGCTTAGGGCTTAGGGAGTTTAGGCTTTAGGGGATTTGGGGTTTAGGGTTTAGGGTTTGGAGTTTAGAGTTTAGGGTTTAGGGTTAGGGTGTAGGGTTTAGGGTGTGTGTAGGGTTTAGGGTTTAGAGTTTAGAGTTTAGGGTTTAGGGTTTAGGGTACCGGACGAACCTAAGGCCTAAGGCACGGTTTAGGCTTTATGGCTAAGGGTGAAGGGTAGCTAAGAGTTCTAACCACACCGGACAAATGTAGTAGGGTTACTTAAAAAGCATCATAACCGAATCATAACCCGCAAGCCCTGAACTACACGCGGGTTGGGGTTCTGAGTTTAGGGGTTCGGGGGTTCTGGGGTTGGGTTTCGGGGCTTCCAGCATTAAAGCCTGACTCACTGTTGTACTCGTATGTTAAAACTATAATGCAGTGAACCCGAAAAACCTAAACCCCCAAAGTAAAATTAAGCCGCCTGACAGGACACTTTCTGCCTGACCTTCTCTGCCAACTACGACTACTTCGGCCCGTGGCTCGGGTAAGGTTTCCGCGCGGTGAAGCGGGGGTCCAGTCGAGCGGCTGTAACCAGAATGGGGTTTCGGAGTATATTGCATGACATTGTGCTACCGTTGAAGGGATACTGCATGAGATTGTGGCGTGCCGCAAAATGAGGCGCAGGGTTTCTGATACAAGTTGGGATCGAGGTTGGTGCCACGCTAAGGGATTTTCACTGGAAAAGACATTGGCAAGCACTGAACAGCCCGACTTGACCTTGGACCTGACCTTCATCGAGACTTTCCAGGACCGCCCTTGTTCATGCCATGATATGCCAGTGCAGTGACTATTTGCGTGCGACGTTTGCTTGTCCAGAGAAGTCGGGCTAACAGGTTCGCGCTGCCTTCGCAATGGTTCTCGGGCTTAAAATCTCCGTGCACCAAGAAGCGACACAGGCGGTGCTTGATGAAAACTCACTGCGCTGGACGTCATGGACCGTTTATGTGCAGCTAGTGCTGGAAGCATCTTCGTGGTTGCTCGTGATAAACGCAGCCTTGACATCTACAGCCTGGCTACTCCTGCTCGTTGGTGTTGGGATGCTGCTGACTGCGTCGAGTCAACTGGGACTTGGAAGAGTTTTGCACAGTCCAATCCTAATGCTGTTTCCAGGATATGGGTGCTTGTTCCAGGAGCTGCCATCCAGGACTACCTGGATTTGTGCAGTGTTGCTGCGGGTTGCAGCTGGTTGCTATCACATGTACTACAATTGGTACATGTCGCCCGCTCTCACGAAGAGCTGCTTCAGTGAACCTTCCCGGGAAGAGTTTGATTCCTTCGATTGCTCACTGGTGGCCTCCTGGCTGCAGGATCCGTGCCGTACAAGCTCGGTGTGTCGCTGGATTCTGACAGAGAGCTACAACCAATGCTCGGCGGCGGTACCGTGGTACCAGCAAACTAGCGTGCTCGACATGTTTACGGTCGACTGCACTTTTCAAACCATCTCCCGATCAAAGTTGCAGTACAGTGTGTTCTTTGGTATACTCCTGTGGCCGGAGGTAGCGGTGCTCCTTTTGCTCGGAATAACACTGCTGCATTGGCTGTGTAAGCGCTGCTGGCCAGCCGACGCAAGCGCGCTGAGTGGCGCCTACAACCAGAAGCTGCAGACCTTGATGGAAAGATCCCTGCCAGCTCAGGCATGCAAATGGGATGTTTCGGGTTCGATTTCAGCGAATGCAGTTTCGTTGGCTGTGCACAAAGAGTAGCAGTCTTGTAGCCCTGTGTTAGGACCTGGCACCACCCTCTTTCATGGCGAAGTTGAAAGTGCACAAGGCTTTCTGGGCCATGGTCCTCGACATGGCCCTTGACGTGAACGCGATCGTCGTGTTTGCCACAAGTCACCATCCCTGGTTCGCAGTGCTATCCAGCATGATCGTGTGTCGGGCACTCTGGCAGCAGTTTGCAGACGGAGGGCCCTGGACACTATGGACAGATTATTGCGAGTCCCTCTCCCGAGGCCGCCTCACCGACAAATTTCATGCTCTGATTTTCCCTGAGAAGAGTCTTGAAGCTCCAGGCTCTTTGTTGCTTCAGTACTACACCTTCGAATACGTTGGGATTGAAAATTCTTGGGCACTTTGGACGTTTGCTGCGTCCATGCTGCTGAGCATCTGCAACGTAGCTGATGCAGCTTATTCCATGATCGTTCTGAACACGATGGCCCTGCTGGAGACGGCTGCATCCGAAAACCCGGAGATGGGTGCCAAGCTTGAGACGGTTGCATCCGATACAGCGGACTGCAACCAGAAGCTGGTGTGAGTCGATCCCTAAACACGAATGTATAGGCTTGCCCGCGGCCTCATTGCAGCTGGGTGAATAAGAGTAGCCCCCAAGCAAAAATGGCTTGGGATGTCCCTGACCCCTTGAAACTTGAAACATGGCTTGTGGAGGGTATCATCAATTTGAACTCCGACAGTAACCAACCAACCGCAGGTAGAGGAGCTGGAACAGCACTCAAGCTGCGAGTCTGCTGAGAAGGAAGTCATTGTGATATGTACTCGAGAAAACGTGGGCTGAGATGCAAATGCAAGCCAACACTTTATGTGGGCCGCTTGAAATCCCCAGCCGATGGGAACGTTCGCAGGGAAGAGTCTAGGACGTAATTACGTAATTCGGGTATCGCGTAGAATGGGCTTCCCTAGCGATGCTCTTTTTTGCAAGGCTTCAGAAGGCGGTGTTGCGGAGATCATCAGGGCTTGTTCCGAAAAGCCATAATGAGGGCGTTATACCTCTCTCTGGGCAATCCGGCAACCCCCCCGCTCCTTCCTAGCAACCCGGAAAGCCACCAGGCGGTATTCGGAATGCATAAGCGATGCACGCCTTGTTTGGGAGAAGGCACAGGGCTAGCCCACAATCCAAGGCTGCACAGACCCAGAATTACCGACAGATGTTGTGTGTGTTGGGGTGTAGCATGCAAGCTTCAGGGTATGCCACTTTGAAGCAAGGCCCGATCTGTCCTTTTCCCGCCTTTCCCACTTCCCACCGCGCGAGGACTCGGACGACAAGTGCATGGTCAAGCAGTGTCTGGAGCTACCATGCCGAGCTCCACAACCTGCTGAGATTCTATACCCTCATCTGCATGTGGGGTCGGATTTCAACAGTAATGTGGTGGCTGCTTTAGGCCTTTTCCCCCCCTTTTCCCCCCCCCCCCTCCCCCCTCCAACCATTTTGGATGGATCAATTTTATATGTTACCTGTGACCCCTTCACCGTGGTTCGCTAGAGTGGGGGCTTGGGTTGGCGTGGGGTCTGGGTGGCTGTGACTAGCTTTCAAGGGTTTGCGGGGGGAAGGGGGGGGGGGGNNAATGCCCGGGTCGGGGGGTTTGGGGATCACCAAAAGCTCGAAACAAAGCCCTGATCACTCCGAGATAGCTGCCAATACTACAAACCCTTCATTTTGAAGACTTTTTCCTCTAACCTACACCCCGCCCGCTCCGCAATCGACCAAGTCTGAAGCCTGGTACGTTACAGTAGTAGTACAGTAATGATAGCGCTACAGTAATAAGTCATAGTACAAGTACAGTAGTGCAGTAGGAATACAGCAGGCGTACAGTAGCAGTGCACTAGTAGTGCAGGTATAGTACAGGAATAGTACAGTAGGGTTAAGGTTTTAGGGTTTAGGTTTTAGGGTTAGGGTTTAGGGTTTAGTGGCGTTTACGGCTTAGGGAGAGCTTCGGGCTTGAGGGGGAAAAATATAAAATATATTGGAGGGGGGGGGGCCTTAAGATTGACCATTAGCAGAGAGGAAGCAAAAGAATATAAAAAAGAAAACAACAGCCGGCAAAGGCATTATAGACGCCCCAAGACATTGGCAACGGAATGTTTTTGCCAACCCAAAAACGCATTGTAGACTCCCACCTGGCAAATGCGGCCACCACATTACACGAAACAGCAATACAAGCAGAAGCAAGCCCAAAGTTTCAGACCCACCCTCCCCCTCCCCGTCAATCTGACGGGTTCCCACTCGTGCAAGGCGAGACACGCACTGTGGAGTTGAAGCCCGGTGGGACCGAGACTTGCCGTTGAACCTGGAAAACGTTGTCTCAGGTATTTTCGGGATTTCACGGGGCTTCGTGTTGTTTGAAGGATGTTATGCGGGCTTTTCATCAAGGCATTTGCTCAGACTTAATGTTTCATAAGGTTTTGTAAAGGGCCTCGAACTGTTTAATAAAGGTTTTAGTATAGCAGCATAGCGGCCTTGCTATTTGGAATAAGATGTTTACCAGTAATGTATGCTTGATCATACGGGGGCCGATTACTAATTTTTCGGACCTATGTAAAGTTGCGAGGTTTCAATTTGTCTGCCATCTAATGCGATTTTGGGCTTACCTTTGGTTTTGTAAAGTTTTGTGTTGCTCGACTGCTCAAAAACCTAGTTCATTAATCCTTCAAGCCCGAAATTTCCGAAAGAGTTGACTTTGTCTGAAGCCCAGCAACGCCGAGGACATCTCCGTCACTTTCGATACGCGCCGTGAGTATGCCCAGAGCTCGGACCGGGTGCAGCGGGAAGAGCTGCGGTTTTTTTTTCGGGAGATGCAAGGTTTCAAACGTTGCGGGGGACTACAGGGTTTTATCAAGGTATAGAAGCGTCCTCTTGAGCAACGAAGAAGAAACGCATGTGAAACCGCAAAAAAAGACAACGAGGTGGACCTCTACTGCCGGTGGCAACTGGAGGGGGCCAGCGCGAGGCAGTTTCAGCTGCTGGCACAGGGTTGCCACCTCAGCTACAGGCCGAGGGTTCCGGATTTCTGTTGGGGGTCTACTTAGTACTAGTAAGTAAAGTCCCTACATAGTAATGGACCATAACAAGTTGGCTTCGTCAGAATTTGCAGCTGAAGGCTGAAGACTTCTTGCTGCAAAAACGGCCGTTGCTGAGGATTCGAGAAAGTGGTGGATTCGGTTCGGCCCTGAGAATCTCGAAGTGGAAGCGCGTCAGAGTCTGAGGTCTAAGAGATCTATGCGAAGTACCGGGATGCCTGAAACCTTTGAAGCTATTGCTTCAGACTTGGATGTTTCCCAGGCTCTCTGGTCGTTCCTCACTGCTGAGGAGGCTTGGGAGCAGGAGATGTCGTGTTTTCAGGAAGTGTAAGATTGATAGTGCCTAGGTGGGATGGCGGGGTGTCTGGATTGCTGAAGATTGAGTGAGATGAGAGATGCATGTTTGTGCTCCTTTAGGGCTTGAGACTTAGCGCAAAATGCACTCCAGGTGATGTTTCCCTGTAGCGGTGGCTGTCATCGTTTGAACAACGTAATCTTTGTGTTTCACCATCTCGCCACACTCGCATCATGATACGATATCGGCTGAGATACCTGTAGTAAGTTGTTCCACAAGCCCAATCCTCTGTGCGAGGATGTTATCTGTTGACAATGAATGCACACAGTCATCGCAGTATCAATCGCTTCCGTTCAATCGTTTTTCCCTGGATGCAGGCAATGAGGGCAAGAGGCATTCAGTATTTGCTGTTAGGTCGTGCCGTTGATTTGAGCAGGATCTCGTTCACATGAAACCCTAAATCCTAAACCCCAAACCCTGAACACCCTTAACCCTAAGCCCCAAACGCTAAACACCCCAAGCCCTGAACCCCTTAAACCCTGGACACCCCAAGCCCTAATCCCTAGTCCTAAACCCTAGACACCCCAAGCCCTAAACCCTAGCCCGAAACCCTGGACACCCCAAGCACTAAACCCTAGACACCCCAAGCCCTAGACACCCCGAGCTAAACCCTAGACACCCCGAGCCCTAAACCCTAGACAGCCCCAAGCCCTAAACCGCTGAACCCCAAGCCCCGAAACCCTCAACCCGACCCTAAACCCTAAGAAGACCCTATATAGAAACCCTTATAGTAGGTTCACTGGCAAGTCTCCGACCCTCAGGCGCACCTGATGGTCTGCTCCGAGCCGCAACTGGTGGCCTCAGACCTCCGGCGGTTGGTTCACTACGAAGGTTGGAGCCTCAGGGGTGTCACAAAGGGTTTTATAAAGGTTCAGGGCTTTGGTTTTCGGGTCTAGGGTTAAGGGTTCTATATATACAGAATGCTAGTTTTGTTTTACTGGTTGTGTGGGGGGAGGGGGGGGTACTTAACAGAAGGATGTCTGCACGGGTTGTACAAGTGGTTCTCAAGAGGTTCATTAGGGCGTTATAGGGGCCTTAGAGGTGTTTGGAATATCCCGGGCTTCTACGGTTTAGGGGTCAAGGGCTTTTTTCGGGTCTACTTGACGACCCCTACGCAACCTGCCAGAAACCGCTGTTTAGGGTTGCTTAGAGTTGTAGGTTTGGGAGGGAGGGGTTTACGGTGCCTAGTTGAGGGACTTGGTGGAGGAAGGGCTCTAATAGGGATCCGAGAATTCCGAATCGTCTGCAGTCCGGAATTGCTAAACCCGGAACCCTAAACCCTGAACTCTAAACCTTAAACCCTGAACCCTAAACCCTAAATCCGGAATGACCCTGCACCTGTAATTAACCTAAAGGCTTGCAAGCTTTTTTGTTCGATGGACCTGGGCGGAATGCCGCAATGTCAAAGAACGGTGGTGCTGGCTGGTGCTACAGGTTTAGGGCCCTGGATTACGCTTTGTTGTGTGGGATTGAAACTATTGGGATGAATTAATTAAGCGTTGTTTCTGTGGCTCTTCCAGTGCCGTTGTGTCAGCACCGCAGAACATGGCTTAGGACTCTGGTTCAGGCATGTGGTATAGGGGCCTGAATCATTAGAGAACGGCATCACTGTACTTTATACTAAAGGCTACAAACGAATATTATTCCCTGGGCTTCCAAGGACCTTATAGTTAGGGCCCTAGACCCCTTAAGGACCCAATAATAAGGTCCCTGGAAGCCTAGGGATTGTTCTCATTCCGACCTTTGTGCATCAGCCAGTCGGAGCCCTGCTGCTACACCAGGCTATGATGCCAGTGACCCGTACATCGAGGAGCCGTGTTTCTGAGCCGCTCTCACCCTAAAGCCTAAATTCTTTTACAAACCCTAAACCACCGCCCCACACCCCAAGGGTTGTCGGCGTTGGGACTTGCGGATATCGGCTTCATCGGGTGAGAGTTTGGAGTTCCCTTCAGTGTTCCCAGAAAGTTTGATACAGGGGCCTAGATAACTACCAATACTGTTCTGGTGGTTCCTCATTTGCAGTATGGCATAGTATACCCCGAAACAACCCTTTTCTAATCATGAAGGCACTTCTATGATTCTCATTCCGGCGCAGGGGGTGAAACTCGGTTGAACTGTCTAGGCTCCTCTTGAAAGCCATGGTCCGG